GGGCCGCCGAAGAGGAGTTCGAAGAGGAGTTTGAAATGTTCGAATTCTGATTCTGATTTTGCGTCGCAGTAGCCGAGGCGGCCTTTGCCAGGTAGCTCTTCAGCTTGCCGGCGCTGGCCAGTAGCAGGCCGTGGTAGACGGGGGACGGCTTCAGGGGGCGGCTGGTGTACTCCGGGTGAAACTGGACGCCCACAAAGTACGGATGGTCACGGAGTTCGGCGATCTCCATGCGCTCGCCGGTGGTGTCGCGGCCGACAAAGGCGAGGCCGGCCGCCTCCAGCCGGGGCACCATCGCCGGATTGACCTCATAGCGGTGGCGGTGCCGTTCGTAGATACGGTCCGCCCGCTTGTACAGCTGCCAGGTGACGCCCCCCTGGGCGGTGAAGCGCGTCTCCCGGCGGCCGACGCGCATCGTCCCGCCCAGGTCGCCGCCGTGGTGCTCGGGCATCTCGACGATAAAGGGGGCGGGCGTATCTCTGTTCACCTCCTGCGACTCCGCCCCCTTCTCCCCCAGAACATTCCGGGCGAGCTCCAGGACGGCGCACTGATAGCCGAGGCAGACGCCCAGAAAAGGCTTTCGATTCTCGCGGGCATATCTTATCGCCAGAATCTTCCCCTCGACGCCGCGGTCGCCAAAGCCGCCCGGCACCAGAATTCCATCCGCCCGCACCAGCGACTGCCAGGCGTCGTAGTAGCGGCCCGGCTCGCCCACCTTTGCCTCCTCCTCCAGGTCGCTGCCCTCGATGTAGTGGATCGCGAGCTTCCGGTTGATGGCCAGCGCCGAGTGCTGAAGCGCCTTAATCACCGAGGCGTAGCTGTCTTCGAGTTTCGTGTACTTGCCCACCAGGGCAATGGAGACCGTCTTGTTGGTGTTGTCGAAGCGCTCCGCCAGGCGGCGCCACTTTTGCTGAAAGTCTCGCGGCCTACTGGACTTTGGCGTGATGATTGCGGGGATCGTCGTTTTCGAAACAGTTTGCTGCTTTGGATTGCTGATGCCGAATTTGGTGCAGAAAAAGTCCACCAGGCCCTGCTTCTCCAGCTCCAGCGGAACTCGGTAGATCGAGGACTGATCACTGAGGCAGATCACCTGCGAGGGATTGACGTGACAGTAGTTGCTGATCTTCTCCCTCACCTCATCGCTAAAGGGCACCTCGGAGCGGCAGACGATCTAGGAGGAAACAAAAAAGAAAAAGAGGTTAGTAAGAAATCGAGGTTTTTGGGAAAGTTTTGAAGAACTTACCAAATCAGGCGACAGGCCCAGCGCCCGTAGCTCCTTCACGCTGACCTGCGTCGGCTTGGTCTTGTGCTCCCCGGTCGCCTTCGGTTTGGGCACCAAACTGACGTGGACGCAGCAAAAGTTGTCCGCGCCGACGGTGCGGGCAAACTGGCGAAACGCCTCCACGAAGGGCATGCCCTCGATGTCGCCAATCGTGCCGCCCAGTTCGATGACGCA